ATTTTGATGATCCATTATCTGCTAATGACTACATAGAAATAGATTTGAGATTGCAAAATCAGGATAAATTAGCTGATCAAGAAATCATTGAACTAGTTAAAGGGAAGGAAGCGATTGAAGAAGAAGAAGAAGATAACCAATTTCAAGTTTCTGAAGATAAAATAACTATGGACCAGGCTATGGAATCGATTGAAAGGCTCCAATTTTTTCTAATGCAAGAAGAAAGAGGAATGGGTATTAGTGAGAGTTTCCTGCGTGAATTAAACAAATTTAAAAGAGAATTAAAGAAAGAAATTTTTGTGTCAATGGCTCAAACAGAAATTGATACATATTTTAGTTAAATGATTTTGTAAATTATGATTTATTATTAATAATAAATGGATAAAGGAAATTCTAAATTTTTAAATTTACTACCCCGTTTATCCGAATTAATTTATGACTCTAATAATAACTTCGGATTACAAAAAAACCCCGTTAATCCGAAACCCTGTTAATCCGAAGAAAAGTCCCTGCACAATTGCCTTCGTTTAACGGGGTTGCCTATGTAGATAGATTGCATGTGGTGGTCTAAAACGCCACGCATCACAACATATTTATTTGCGTTATTGAACAATTCAAAAAAATTATTTATGCGTGGCAGCCTAAACGTTACGTTTATTTATGCGTGCGCGCCATTCTAAACGTTAGGACACGTGAACGCAACGTTTTTAATATAATAGATATTAATATTAATATTAATATGTGAAAATAAATTCGAAATTCGTGTCACATGAAGTTTTTTTTTAAAATATCCCGTTATTTTTATAATAAACTCGAACTTCGTTGTTAGAGTAACTCCATTAAAGCTTCCTAATGAATAATACTCTTTCATATATTGAAAGGTATTCTCTACATGAATTCACAGCTATTCAAAAACGGTATTACCTTTTCACTTCAAAGCTCAGATTATTTCTCAATATCGCTTTAAAAGACTTGATAGTAAATGAGAAGGTGTAGAATACT